CGGTAAAGTTGGGCGGGTAATATCGACCCAAGTGTGATTAAATTCACGGTGCGAGGAGGGGCGTTTGTATTTTAGCGGTTAGAGCGTTGGCTTACGGTAAAGGCCTTCTCTAATATGCGGGTTTAAATCCCGCCGAACGCCTAGAGTTTTTTCACAGTTGGGTCAACTCAAATTAACGGTACCCCTATCGAAGATAATTACCCGCTTGTGCGTTAATTGCTTGATGACCGGCGTGCGGGCCATGATCTTCTGAACTTTCGTCACACGTGGGGGGATTGTACTCGGCCAGCTGGCTACCTGGCATTGGCGTTAATAGACGCGTTCCCCTATCTGCTCCCCAAATGACGAATTCCTTTTGGCCAAACTGAGCCTCAGCACCGAATATGGGTTGGGCAGGTAATTGCACTTTTTTATAGACTAGGGGCCTACAAACACGTTTCTGCTATTATCTTTGAGGATGGATCCGCGACGGAATCCGAAACGTTGGGCAAACAACCTTCTTAGCTCAGCGATCACAAATTCTTCTTCTCAATCATGACAACTGACGACAGCCCGCCTTATGAGTTAGAGCTAAATGCCCGAGAAGAAGTATGCACTGATCTATAAGCTTCCCGAAGCCAACAACTTGTGTATGGGCGTCAGCTTTATCTAAAAGGAAATAAAAAACAGGTCGAAGTCGGACAGTTTACGATAGCAGAAGGGAGAGACGACAAATTAAACGGGTATCAAGAAACAAAACTGTTGTAGGTCTATTCTGCCTTCTCTCCTTCAATCATAAACCAAGCCGTCATTGGCGATTAGAAACAAAAATATACGCACGTACACGACGCAGATGTTCCCCATATGGCTTCTTACGCATTGTTCATAGGCATTTAATCAACTTGAACGTCGTCACTTCCTCGCCATACGCCATTATCTGTCACTGCAGGTCGGCATTTACCTAGCCAGGAATAAGCGTATACTTATCCATCAGCGGCGGATTCCCGCTCTAATATCGTATTAGACACACCATCACATGAGAGTAATATCGTACACAAATGTTGTAGTATGGTTGGAATGCAGTTATTATGCTACGGGTGTGCTCGGTGTGCTTCGGTGTGCTCAGCCATCCGTGTCCCGAGAAGCCTTGTAGCTGCTTTTTTCGCAACGGCAGCAAGTGCAGTAAACGACTCCAGACATTTTTCTGCTATGACAGTCTATATTTTGGACGCATTGACTGGCGTTTGATAGTTGCCACTGACCCATGTACAACAAAAACTTCAATTGTTGGGAGAATGCCCCTAAAGGCTCCCGATACGTTCTCGGCGTATGAGTCCTCGTGCTTTCCAGAAGCGCATTCCCACGTTTATGTCGGTCAACGCTTAAATGTCCAGTGTAAGTGTTTCTTTCTCCTTAAATTTGGTTGCATTCGACTAATTCACTACTAAAAGTACAACTAGAATAATGAAAGAACAAACTTTGGTGCATTTGGCCCAACTGGAGAATATGATTTGGAAAGATAAATGAATTCAATTCTTTTAAGAAGCTGGAGTGTGTGGCGTTTACGCTAGCAGACGTTTGTATGTTATTGGTCAACTTTTCTTGCTGCCCCCTATCTGTGAATTTTTCTCCATTTCATTTGCAGATACGGACATAGAGGTTTCGCAACTCAATATTACAAAGATGAAAGATCTGTGAACACGCGCTTTGTGGTGGCTTATTAGAGCATCGCCAGAGCGTGTTTGAAGGACTCACTTAAAGGCTCTCGTAATCAAATTGCTACTATGATCTATTTTAGCGTGTCTAGGCCCGCAATTGAGCTCGATCGTTCCAAACTTACCGCTTATCGTGCTAGAATTGCTTTTGCGTAAAAACCCAACGACTGGGTCGGATATTAGAATCTTGCAACTTTTAGCACCATCTACCGGCATTTGAACAGGAATTAAATTATTGTTGCATGATTTAGCATACTGAGCGTAGGCACTAGATGAAAGCTCACCCACTTGTTTCATGCTGAGCCTATACTGCTTCCTTTCAACCAAATTATACAAAGCTAGCTTAGTAACTTCCAAAGGAATAAAAAAGTTTAAAAATCCAGGCTTGTTAAAAATTTCGGATTTAAATTGTACCCAAAAGACACAAGTTATTCCCGCACAGATTGAAGTATTCTGACTTACGGTCAGAAGGTTGATGGATTTTAGGTCACATATATGCGTATTTCGACCTCATCAGGTGCGATTTTGAATGCTTACGTTCTTCGTTGTTGAAACAGGATTGTTACTTTTTAATGAAGTTTAATTTGCCCCATGAAAGAGTCAAATACTGAATGTATTCACATCCTGTCCCATTGCAAACACTAATTGATCTGAAATGAAGTAAGTGTTTCGTTGTTGTGATTCACCTATGGTGTGTAATGCACCTATGGGTTTCAAGCTCACAGATTGGCTTAATTCTTCCCTTAAAAACATCCTCACGTAGGATTCGTTTGAAACGTTTGACGGTGGTAGCATAACCGAACCAATAAAATATTTTAAGATGCCGAAGAGATTGTACGTAGGGAAATATGTTTGCAAATAGTCCTAGAATTAAAGTCTTCCCGGAGCGTTAATAATTCTCCATTAAACATTTAAGTTAAAAAACACCGCCATCACAATTTTGGTTTTTTAGATTTGACTACTCATTTTTCTTGTTACGCCCATTGCAAAAGAACTATAAGGTAGGGTCCTGCCTACCGCCCTACCGCCCTGCAGCCCATACTTCGCCGACACCATTTTCCGCCACCCATCGCGAAAAAGGTCGTTTTTGTCTGGAACTTTTAGTCTTGGTGCTGGTATATAAATTAAACTAGACTGATTTAAACTAATGACAGTCTACGCCAAATGAAGCTGATATTCCTTCTGGCATTACTCCACTGTAGCTTGGGCAAAAATGTAAAATTGGAAATCTTTCGTATGCGAGATGAGGCTCCCTGTCTACCGGAACTAGAAATCTTCGATATACCCGGAAGCCTTGAAAGGGGTATAGCCTACGCAATCTCACGGAGTAAGGGCATTGTCCTACTAGAGCACATTCAGGATAATGCACAGAACGTGACTGGTTGCAACATTAGGGAGGAGAAGCGGGGAAGCAGTGTGCTGTATGCTCTTGACGTTGCCTTGAATAGGGCCATCAGCACAGACTGTTTCTCGGTTGTCATCGGTCCACC